TTTTTTTTTGACAAATTTTTCATGATTTGTTTGATTGAGTGCATTTGCTAATAAAAGTACAACCATCCCTGTTTGAGCTGCAGTTTTAGTGCCACTCTAAGAATAGGAACAGTTCAAACAACAGGGTGGTTTCCTGCCTGGATGGACTCCAGTTTCAGTTTGTGTGTAGTGATCTGCTCTCTTGGCCAGCCCATCTCCAAATAATTCTGTTTACTTTGGAGGTAAAACCTAGTTTGTAGTCTAAAGAGAGAAGTCAACTTTTTCTGCGACAGCTCTCGCAGACCCAGGGGGCGGTTATGCAAATGCTTCTCCCGTTTTCTCAGAGATGTTGATAGCCCAAAGTGTTCTGTGAAAGTTCCCCGCTCTTTATTGCATTTAAAGTGAGAAACCCATTAAGCCCAGTTCGTTCTGACCCACTTGTGAAAGTTGTTTCTAAAAATGTGATGAAATAAAAAAAAAAAGGACTTAACACGAGGTCCTGTTGAAGCATGATTGTGTAGAATCTGTCGTATGTGTGCGTATTGTGCACCTCACAGGTGTGTTTTAACACATGCCTAATTTTAACAGTAAAGATAACCCCGCCCACCTCCCTCCCAGTCATGCCTGTCGTTATCTAGTAGCTGAACGGTCCCCAGATTTTCACCTTCACTGTGTTTAAAATGATAGTTTTGTACGTCGGCATCAATTTTAGAACATCTTTGTTGTAGCTCGTTTAACGGGACTGTGAAAATGAATAAAACAGCCACCGTAATGAAGAGTTTTAGAAGAAATTAAAAAGAACATTCCTTCATTTTGCCCTGCCTACATTCTAGTCTAGTCTCCAGATACGTATGATCACAAATAAATATGTAAAAAGTATATGAGAATATAAATAAATATGTAATATGAGCAAACTGAATGGAAACGTCTGAGCTTCATTTACGCTGTATTTTTCTTCTCCTGTTCCATGATTATTCTGAAGTAATTTGTTTAAATGTCTTGTATACAAAAAATAATGTTACCTTGAAATTCTCTAACTAAATGAATAATTTATGTTCACTTTAGAGGTCCATGAGGTTGGTGGATTATTTATTATATCAATGATGTTCTCTTGCTCTGTCTTTTTCTTAAAAAAAAACCCAGTTTTAAACAGATTCCTCTTATCTAAGGCTAAGACGCCCTCGTACGTCATTTTTTGATGGATTTGACCGTTTTTACATACAGCATGGGATTTTTGAGGCAATAAATTATAGTTCAGATTTGTAGAAAGGGCAATATCTGTCGTAAATTTCTCTTTGGATGACCCCTGTTGGGAGAGATAGTTTTGTGATGAGTTAATGGCTAGTCAGCACAAGGCCAAAATAAAAGTGGATGACTTCTGTCTCCAGTCTCGAAACATTCCATAGTGATTCTTACGAACACCATTTTATAAATCTTTTTCAGTGTTATCAACTTTGCATCACATGGTTCTTTACATAAATTCACTGTTTTTGTGTTATCAGACAGTAACAGCAGCTAGACTGTTGGGAGGAGAGTAACATTTCTGTCAGAATAACTATGGTACGCAAAACTAGTTTAAATATTTAAAACTAGTGCGAGTATGGGACTGGTTGCTATGGGCTGTTCGGTCCGGTGCGAGAGTTTGGTTCACATTGCCGGCAGTAGGTCGGACCCTTTCAGGGTGGGAGTTGGACTCCACCATGGCTGCCCATTGTCACCGATTCTGTTCATAACTTTAATGGACTGAACTTTTCTGTGCAGCCAAGGGGTGGAGGGAGTCCAGGTCAGTGGCCTCGGGATTCCATCACTGCTATTTGTGGATGATGTGATCCTTGTTGCCGTCGTCATTCTGTGACCTTCAACTCTCGCTGGAGCGGTTCGCAGCCGAGTGAGAAGCGGCTGGGATGAGAATCAGCACTTCCAAATCTGAGTCCATGGTCCTCAATTGGAAAAGGGTGGATTGCTCTCTGGATTGGGGGTCAGGTTCTGCCTCAAGTGGAGGAGTTCTAGTAACTTTGGGCATTTTTCTTGAGTGAGGGGAGAATGGAGCAGGAGACGGATGGATTGGTGCAGTGTCTGCAGTATTGTGGACTCTGCCGGTCCGTTGTGGTGAAGAGGGAGCTGAAATGTAACAAGAAGCTTTCAGTTTACTGGTCAGTCCACCTCACCTGTGGCCACAAACTCCGAGTAGTGACCAAAAGAACAATGATGGCACATCATGGTTACATGCGGTTGAAATGAGTTTCCAGGGTTCCAGTTTTCAGGGTAGCTGGACTCTCCCTTAGAGAAAGGATGAGAAGTTCAGCCATCCAGGAGAGACTCTGAGTAGAACCACTGCTCCACATCGAGAGGAGCCAGTTGAGGTGGTTCAGGCATCTGGTAAGGATGCTCTCTGGGTTGGTGCCGCGGGCCTGTCCGACTGGGAGGAGACCCCAAGGAAGACTCGGGACACACCGAGACTACGTCTCTCCACTGTCCAGGGAACACATTGGGGTTTTCCCAGAAAAGGTGGCTGGAGAAAGAGATGTCTGGACCCCCTTAAGCTGCTGCCCCCGCAACCTGACTCTGGAACAAACCAAAGATGATGGATGGATTTTTATCAGAATTGTTTTATTATGGTAGCAATCCATTTTTGAACTTTCAGACTAAACATAAACTCGACAATCTCAGAATTAAACAATTTCTTCAAGCTGTGGTCATTTACAAAAAACTGTCCATGACAGGTAAGATATTCATTATTCATAACCTCTCCACAGAACCCCACTTTGAAAGCTCTCCGCTATCACTTTTTTTTCTTCATTTTTGACTGAACAGGTGTTTATTTAATTTATTGTACTAAGAGTTGCTGTTTGCAACATGTTGCAGGCTTTAAGTTCAACGTAAAGACGCTGTAGTTTAATTTGTTGTGAAACGTTATTCAAACGTGTAGATTCTTTTAATTAGGCTAAAAGTTGGCTGTGCACCTTTGAAAGATTTTGCTTCCTCTCGCACATTACATTATCATAGGCTGTTAGATGTTTTCTAAGCCTGCTGGAACAGATGGTGTGCAAGACGCAGCGGTCCGGATGCTGCGTCCATCTGCCTCTAGTACACGCTCGTTCCTCCCGTCCTTGTAAATATAAACAGACACTGAGCTGGAAAACACAATGTGCAGCGCGGGGTTATGAAGCTGCAGAAAAACAACATCCCAGGGTTCTTGTGTGGAACAGAAGAGTGTGGGTTTGTGGTTGGCTGTGCCCCCACTGGACAGGTGGAGCCCTGTCTAATTGGCTGTGTCTCAGGTCTCATCCACAAATTCCCCATCTTTTATAAATTACAGTGTGAAACCAGGAGAGGCACCTTGGGGCGTAAACTAGGTCACACCACTGAGGATAAGCTCCATGAAGCAAGCGGTCAGAACGGGCTCGCATGTCACCGTTCTGAGAAGGGTCTTTTGTTTTTCTGACACTTTCAGCCATTGCTGGAGGGAGGGAGGGAGGGAGGGGGGGACACACGGAGCAGATTTATAGTGCACACTTCAACTTGAGCCAAAGCTGATCCAAGTACAGAGAAAGGTGAAATTATATCAACCTCTTGCTTTGTGCATGCGGTGTCATCATTCATCATTCCAAGTAAAACCAGAAGCAGATCATCTTCCCTCGTATTGTGACGCTAAGAAAACCTGCTGCTAATGGACCAACAGACTGGAGCAGACAAACATATTGGGAAAATGTGTTTCAGGAGTTAGTGGTGCAGAGTCATCAGCATGACTTTGGGGAAACATCAAGGAGCCTTCTGCAAAGCTTGGTACTGGGCAGCACTGGAACTTGGAGGAATCAATGATCTGAAACATTTTACTTTGACCTGAATCCATCCCATGATCTTCAATGGGAGACGGAATCCAGACTGGAGGAAAGCCCTCCAAAGATTTGAAGATCGTGGAAGAAGACGTGTCCAAACCACAAGAAGTGACTTTTTGATTAATGACAAAGAAAGGCTTTGCTAAAAAAATAAAAAATGAAGGTAATGTGAACTAACTTTCAACTTTCTCATGTAAGCTCTTGCTTATTTTTTTCTTTTTCCAGAGGTGGATCGCTGCCTGATGTAGATTTGATCCCATCGATGACGGTTCTTTGTCCTTCAGAACATGTTGAACAAATCAACTGGACTTCTTTTCTTATTTGAAGACCCCTGGATTATTGAGCATGCATCAGGATACTTATTTGAAGACATTTTATCATCTGAGGCGCTTTCTCAAATTAAACTGAAACGTTCAGAGTTTCAAGCTTCTGATCTTGAGAAGTGCTGCCTAAGGGCCCACCATTGTGTCAGAACCACACAAACTACAGCTCTGTAGTTTAGAGCTCTTATTACACCTCTGAGTTGAACTTCCTGTCTCTTTTCGTCACCTAACTGAACAGTTCTTTTTTTATCAGCGTGCTGAACATCATTTCCTGGACATTTTTTTGCAACAGTGTTGTTGCAGCAAGCAGCACACTAAAAAGAGGCCCTGCAGGCCAGGGGCCACTTCATGGAGACATTTTGCTCTCACAGTGAGCAGATGTCTCTGCAGCTTCAGCTGATCCAGACAGACGGTGTGTGTCAACAGACTGCACATGTTGGACCTTTGACTCCTCACAGCTGATTGTGTGCTTCACTGGCGTTTTATTCATGAAGGGGCATTAAAAGGGAATAAGATAAAACAGCACCAAAAAAATAAAAAACACGTTTCGTTTTTAAGATAAGGAACAAACTATGACGTGATGCGTTTCTTTTATTTGTACTTTCAACAGCAGCGGACTGGTTTAGAAACCTGAGGTGGAAAAATGACGCGCACTTCCGCTTTAAAGCCGCGTCCTCCTGCTGACACGGAGCCTCAGATCAGAACCGCCTGCAGTCCGGTGGTTCGGTGCGCACTCCGTCAGGAGCCGGGTGGAGAAAACCCAACACTTCCAGGTTTCTTTGGAAATTTACGCACGGAAACCGGAAACAGCAGCTGCGCCTCCACCTGAGCTGTGATCTCCTCCCAGCTCCACTTGTTGATGCTTTCCTGAAACAGCCGCTACAACCCGAGCCGCGCTTATGCGTAATTTGGATGAAACCCTGCCCGGATGGGGGTTTTGGTGACAGATGGTGACCGGTAACGGCGTCTGATTACACGCGCGCGCTGCTGCCAGGTAAGCAGCGGAATGGGGAACCAGATGGACAGGCTGTCTCATCTAAGTTACGCAGAAGTTCCCACGGTGGACCCGAACGGCCTGGACACGGACGACGGTCCGAGGATCGGCGTCTCTTACATATTTTCCAGCGACGACGAGGAGCTGGAGGATGGCTGCGCGGCGGACGGGAGGGGAAAGGAGCAGACGGAGGAGGAGAAGCACTACGACCCGCGCGAGGAGGTGGAGTGCGCCGTCTACAACCGGGAGGAGTGCGTCTACGAGAAGAGCGCAAAGTGCGCAAACCTGGAGGTCTACTCCCCTGAGAACCTGCTGAACAAGTGCAAAGCGGGGGACCTGGTGGAGTTCGTGGCTTCGGGCCAGTACCCGCACTGGGCTGTGTACGTGGGGGACTTCCAGGTGGTGCACCTGCACAGAGCCGAGGTGAAGAACAGCTTCCTGACTGACGCCAGCCAGGGGAGGAGGTGTCGGATCGTCAACGACCTGTACAGGTTCAAAGCCCTCGGTCCGGACATGGTGGTGCAGAACGCCATGGAGCAAGTGGGCCTGAAGGACCGGGAGCTGAGCTGGAGGAACTCTGAGAGCTTCGCAGCCTGGTGCAGGTTCGGCAAGAGGGAGTTCAAGATGGGAGGGGAGATTCGGATCGGCAAGCAGCCATACAGGCTGAAGATCTTCCTGTCGGACAAACTCTCGCACCTGCTGGAGTTCCAGAGCCTGGAGGACGTGATCATGGAGAAGAGGAGGAACGATCACCTGGGGAGGACAGCAGTGATGCAGGAGCTGAGCTCCCATTTCAGGAGCGTGGAGGAGAGGAAGACTGACCCTGGACCTGGACCTGAATGATGTCCGACTTCAGATCGTCAGCAGGGTCTCTGCAGCTGTAGCCTTTTTTCAACAGAATCTGTTACACTGTCCTCCTTAAAGGGATAGTTCAGATCTTCCATGGGATCTGGGGGAATAATCCACAATTAATATCTTACCTGCTGTAGATAGCTGTTTAAAAAACCTTAATTTGGAGGATCGGCGTTTAAAGGTGCTCATTGTGAAGTCATGAAGTCGAAACAAAAACATAAACATCAGAACAATATTTGTCTCACATTGAGGGTGATGCTCAAATTAAAACTTGAATTCAAAACCTGCAGAAAGAGCTGACCTGACTGAAAGTAGTTCAGCCATTAAAATGACCACACACAGGTCATGTGACTCAAGCTTTGTGGTGGATTCATCTGCTTTGATTACATTGACACGCGTTTCAGAATTGCATCTGCACATTTGGAGTAAACACTTTCAGTGCACCATTTGATGTTCACAACATTTTTTTTGTGTTTGATTTCAAACTTTGCAATGAGCGGCTTTAATTTTTAACAAGCTAACGAGTTTGAGGGGCCACAACCAAATCGAATGGTTGCCATCTTAAGACAACTCTCAAATTTGGAATAAAAATCTAATCACTTTGTGCAGATGCTCTTTTATACTTCCGTTAATTTCACATTACAGAGTTGTTTCGACATATTATAAAACTTATTGTGAAAGTGCCCCAGACCGGACAGGAAGTGCTACAGCTACTGATGCTATTTACTGGTACTCTTGCACACAACCACAGAGCTCTATGTAAATAGCTGTAATGTAAAACCCAGCATTAAGCAGCTGGATCAGGTGCCTCACAGCTAAAGGAAAACAAACTTTCAAAATAAAAGAGAGGCTGGAGCTCACTTTCATTTTGTAACACTCAGAGGAACAGTTCAACACCCATCATGAATTCTTCAAAGTCAAGGTGGACACAGAACTGAGACGGGTCTCAGGAAACATTAATCTGACTGTTTGCACTTCAAAAACGAAGAATTTTATCGTTGAGCTTGTTTTATTTTGAAGTTTATGAAACAAGGTTTAAATAGCTGCTATATAAGATACGATTGTTCCTATTTTTCCAACATAAACCCATTTCAGAAGATCTGAACTATCCCTTTAATCTGTAGCAATCCTCATTTATTTTAGCTATAATTGGAACATTTGATTTTTATTTCAATTTCAAGTTTATTATTTTTGATTTTTGATTACGAGTTCATAATTTTATTGCCTTAAAGTCACACTCCTCATCACTCTTTATAATTAAGCCATCTAAGATAAAGTCATTAATTGGATCAGCTGTTTATTTTTGGTACGCATAGTTTTATTATTATTTTTTTTAAATAAAAGCTTTACAAATCTGTTACAAACTGTAATGTTCCTGGGAGTGACAGCCCTCTATTTATAGTGTGTCTCTTGAAATGATCCAGTTGAGATTTAATTTCAGCTCTCAGCTCACTCAGACATAAAAGTGTCGTCCCAGATTCTTTGTGCCTTTTTGGGGTAATTGTCCCGCCAGCACACGTGAAGAAAAAGCTGTCTGTGTTAAACTGATCAAAAAGTCTTTGTTCCCACGTTAAAGCATACCATTAACGGTTGTCTCCTTTATCAAACAAGTCTCTGTGTCTCATGTATTTATTCACTGGGATGAAAATAAGCTGCTCGATTGCGCGACACCATGGCTTCGGACGTGTCACCTTTTCAAGAGTGCTGAAAATGGTTGATTTTCTTTTAGTGATTTGCTGAAACAGCTGAGCCGTTTATCATTCTGAACACATTTTGTAAACCTTGAGCAAAGGCAAAGGGCTTTTTTAAAGACAGATTTATATATAAAGTAAAGATGCTGGTTTTTGTTTTTAGTTTATCGTCTGGGGAAGCAAATCGAGCAGCTTTTAGCATTTATCAGACTGTCAGGTTATTCCATCCATCCATCCATCCATCCATCCATCCATCCATCCATCCATCCGTCCATCCATCCATCCATCCATCCATCCATCCATCCATCCATCCATCCATCCATCCATCCATCCATCCATCCATCCATCCATCCATC